ACTTCTCGAACTTTACTCCAGTCGAAAAAATTTCATATCTACAGAACGAAAAGTTCGGGAAGCCTACGAATTTGGATTTACAGGTTCTCGATCATACTCTACAAGATGAGTCTACTTAGAAAAAAATCTGAAGTAGTCATCGAGCTTCACTTGTCGTGGCTTATGTGCAATGGCACTTAAACCAAGAGCACATTTGATCCATCAGGATATAAGTTTTCTGTGATATCACGTTCGGGATATAGGTTATATTCCGAACGAGATATCGCTCGTGAGACCGGATTGACAGGCCTTTCGCAATTCTGTGTATAGTAAAAGAGTACTGAACAGGACAAAGGCAGATCAGCCTGTTGGTCGCTACTAACAATAAATAAACGGGATTTTCTTAACAAAGTGGCTGATAGTAGCAGGAGAGAGTCACTCAATTATCACTATCTATATTAGACTCTAAGCTCTGCACACTTGTCATCATTCACTTTCACCCTTTTTTCTAAAGAGAGCGCAGAGTACAGGCAGAAACAGAGAAACAAAAAAAGTAGAAATAAATACTTCAAATATGTTTCTCTTCGTTTCCAACTAATAAAATTGCAACGTCTAATAAATATAATTCAACTGATCATTCACCAAAGTTGTTTCAACTTATCCGCTTTCTGACCTACATTAAGAGCAGCTGAAGGAAACGCCTCTCTGTTTACTAACGGTCAGCCTATTACTGTATTCTTCTTGATGAAGCAATCCTCTCCAGAGCTATACGAGTGACTGCGACATCTATCAGTCTGTACAGATGATTAATACACACAATAGCACTGCATGATTAGAGCATTAAACTACATCACAGACGTCGTGAAGGGACATTACCTACTCATTTAACAGATATTTTCAAGCAGGTGCGTTCATTACGAAGACAATGTTTTTAGTTTCGAATACTATAATGGAGAACATTTTTCCGCTTGTATTCTGACAGAATAAAAAGCTTACATCAAGCTTTTTTTATAAGTCTTTGAATCGGGTTACGAATACTGTGTAAAACTTAGTTACGAAAGCCTCTAATAATCCAATGCATCACTAGACTATATAAAATAACTATACACATCGTTCCGAAAGCCCTGTTAGTGATCTGATGGACTATCTGACTGAGAGGGATGATAGTACATAAATACTAAGGTTATGAAAGCCCTGTAAATTTTGGGTTTTCGATGCGAAAGCCCTGTAGAATAGACAAAGCAGGGCTTCGTAACACAAAGGTCCTGTAAAATTTTCAGGACGAATCAATATGGTCTCTCTGGGGTTTACATAGTCTTAATTTCTTGTTGAGGTTAGGCAAGAATGTTAGTAGATAAGGCTGTAACTTAGAAACATAGTAGCGCCAGTGTTTTTGCAAGAAGACTTGCTGCATGGTAAAGGTCACGAAAGTTTTCACACTTTTTGCTTTAGGGCAAGCTGATAAGCTTTTTCAATAATTCCAGGAAGGCTAAGAAAACGTTCATCTTCTTCGGTAACTGGACAAGTACTGTAAACCCTGCAGTTCTTGCATTTATCTTAGAACTTTTATATATACTGGCGATTTTTGGTGGAACCACTCAGGTTGAGGAGTAAAAGATCTTCAATGCGCACTTCTAAGATCATCCGTTTATATCTGTCAGCATGTATGTTTCTTTAATAAAAGGTCAGGAGTTAGCAAAATATTCATCGTCTTCAATAACTATGCCATCAGAAATTGATTGGAATCAATTAGAAATCGTCTGCCTTTTGCTGAAAGATGGAACATTCTCTGATTTTCTACCATCAGAGATTTTTCTAAAACCATACAGTGATCCTCTAAGATGCATTTCGTACATAACAACTACCGAATGTCGACAGATTTATTTAATCGTATCCGATACAGTTGATGAAACTGTTTTAAAAATATTGCATAAACTCAGACAAATTGTAGCCATTTATTTACTTCGAAGCCAAATAAAACAAATTGAGCTAGCAAAATATTATGCTAAGTTATCGGGAATATTTGATGATAAAAAAGAACTTTGTATAAAGTTATTAAACGATATTCATACACTTTCAATATATTCAGCAACAACAACATTGGCAAGCAGACATCCACCAGGGCCACTAGAATACTCTACAACACTATTATTCATCAAGTCCAAAAGTTTTGAGCAATTACCATTAGATAAGTTAAATAACGAACAAGCTAAATTCATTTGGTTTCAATTTTTAATACGAGCAATAGTCCATTTACCTGAACAAACGAATAATAACTATGAAAAACTGTTAGCCACATGTCGAACACAATTTGAAAGTGATACACAAGAACTTAATACTATTAATACCATTCAAAATTATTATACATCGCGCAAAGCCATATGGTGGTATACACATAAATATACGTTTCTCCGTCATACGTTAAATGATGCACTTTGTTCATATAATTTCGATATCATATTTCAATTTCGATACTATATTCGTGATCTTTACAAACAACTGATTGAATTACGTTCGTTGTCTATTGCTACCTCCCTTTTACGTACAGTTTTCCATAGTCAAACAATGAATAAGCACGAATTAGAACATTTGAACGATCATATCGGTGAACTATTGTCTGTGAATATCTTTATGTATGCGACTATTTCAAGAGAAATTGCTTTATCATATGTTACGAACAGTAACGACGGTAATAATTCATCGATGGAAACTGTTTTATTTGAAATTGAACTTGATGAAACTGTTGAATCATTTGTTAATATTCAAAATGTCAGTTTCTTAGAACAAGATGGCGAATACTTATTTTTAATTGGTACAATATTTCAATTGGAATCTTGTAGAATGTTACCTAGTACGATATGGCATATTAAATTAAAATTGACCAATAGAGAAGAAGACGAAGCAAAACAATTAATTAATCATTTTGAAAATCTATTCGATGAAAAATTTACAGTTTTCACACTGGGTATGTTTTGGTTGGAAACAAGTTTAATCGAAAAATATGACAATGCATTAAATTATTATAATATGCTGTTGAACGAATATACAACTGATAATGCTAAAATAAGTATTTATACCAACATAGCTCTTATTTATGACCGAAAAGGCGATAAGGATAAGATAAATACCAGAAATTATTATGAAGAAGCATTAGCATTAGCCAAAGATCATGAGTCACTATCACCTGAACCAGATACACAAACTGAAATACTTGAAGTTATATTAAAACGACCAGTATTAAACAGTACTTCTCTGTCGATATACTATTACAATTTGGGCTGTATAATGTTTGAAAAAAAGAACTTTGAAAATGCATTAGAAAATTTTGAAAAAGCAAACAAACAGTTTTCCGTAGAGAAGTTAGATCCCATCGTCCAAGCAGATATTCTGAATAATATTGGTTGCGTTTACTTTCGACGAAATGAATATGAAATATCAATGCGTTATTTCGAACAAGCGTTTGACATTGGGTTAAAGATACCAGAAGAGAACCGTTCAGCAGTTATTACCGATTATCTCAGTAACATGTCAGCAGCAACCATAAAACAATAGTAATAAGTAAATCTACGCTTAAATAAATAACTATAACTTCAAGATATTGAAAATATTTTATTTCACTTCAAACGAACAAATCAGATCTGCTAGATCTGATAAGGTACAGGTTTACTTGCGAGAAAGGTTCCTCAAGTGATAGTTGTGTTTTGTTTAATGAAATTCATGGAACAGATTCCGGAAATGAACATCAGAGGGACGGTTAGGACTTCCTAGACTCGGTATTCATTCACATCTGATACATAGGTTGTAGAGCGTGTCGAGTTGTGAATGTAGAGCGATAGTTTTTATTTCAGAAGTTTATTTTTGACAATCCTAGGGTGAAATTAGTGTTATTGCTAGCTGTAAGTTATCCAAGATCGAAACATAAAAGGAAATTAGATAAACTAGGACAAACTGAAAACTGTTTCTACGACTAAGATCGTTATCCATGACTGTAAGATGCATGCGTATCTCCTTCAGAGCAAAGAGCTCACCCAGAGAGATGGAGAAAATCAAGGCATGCACGAAAGAAAAGACTTTTCGCTAGAAAGATTTTATTTGAGATTAACTTAAACGACAAGAAAAGTGAAAACTATTATCGATGTTCGAGCGTATAAGAATCACTTTATTTATGTAGTTATTGTCGTTACACAACCAGCAATAGGTTGTTATTTACGTTATTAACGAAAAGAACGTTTTTGCTACTTTGTTTTAACTTAAAATGGCTTCAGTGTTGTCGAAACAACTTCTGAAATGAAAAAGATTGCTCTACATATGTAATTCGACATATTCTAGAAATACAAGAATAGATCTGCAAAAGTTCAACGTTCCTTTTTAGCGTTCTCTTTGAACGTAACGCTAAAGTACGTTGGCATTCACTGAACGTGAATGCATGAACAAGACGTTTTTGAAATGTTCTGGTGAACGTTAACGTTATTTTATATGAATGGTGTTGATCTTGTGTGGAATGAATAGCATTGCAAAACATTATACAGCAATTTCACCTAGTAGTATACCGAGTGAAACAGCTTTCTCCATTACCAGTTATATTTAGTGAAAAATAAACGCTCGTTTGTCCCAAATGGGTTGGGAAAACAAAGCAGTGGGATAAGCACGTATGTAGTTACTGTAATGGTTTTCACCAAGAAACTTCGGTTCCAGTGTCGGAAAAACTAGTCTTCTGGTCAGGAAATTCGCGATCTGTTCTTGGAAGAATCGATGTCTTGATCAGAGAATCAAGAGGTATCCTTTTCACATTGCCATAATCTGATCACTGCCCTGAACAGACCATCTGATCCTTCACTAGTGTTTCTATTGATCAGATAAGACCAAGCAGAAATATATATGTTCTTACTACAGTACAAGAACAGAAGTTTATATTTATTTCAGACGATATCAACACCGTGCGTATAAAAGAAGCTCACGTCCACCAGTGCTTTAGCGTTCACGTTCAAGGAACGAAGCGTGAACTTTTGCAGGCCTATACCAGGAATGAATTTTAGAAAAATAATGACTTTAAATTACATTTTTCTACTGATTAAAGCGTGAGTTTAGGGACAATGTTTAAGACACTACCACCTGTGTGTTTGTAAATTTTTAACAGACGTTTGCCCGAATGTGAAGTTTTCACATTTACAGCAGTTCTCAAAGGCTATGCACAATATTCTCAATCCTTCTCAATCCTTCTTTCGAGCGCACGCTTGTAAGGAAAATAATGCATTACTCCTACGTATCGTTTCATGAACCGATTTCATCTGTCCATTTCACCTGTTATAAGGCAAGAAATTGTCATCCGTTTTTAATTATTTATAGATTTGACTAACTTTATTTGTAGACAATGGCTGGAGTATTTAGAATACCAAGAGGAAGGTATTTTAATATAGACCACAGTATTTTAATCTTTTAATAATGCAATCTGGTTTAATTTTAGATGCACTGTTTCCAAAGATAATGATGCGTTGCAGTTACTTAACGCTACTTACTGTTTTCAAAATTTTACAGTTATCTGGTTAGATTCTTTGTTCGTCGAAAATAATGATATTCATATAAAATTAAAACGAATATTTAATAATTTAAAACCTTTTAATGATATAGGTCCATGTATTCATTATTTATTTCAAAACAAAACAAAAATAAATGTTTTATTAATTGTATCATATTTAGCAGCTCAAGAGATTATTCCTGTCGTACACGAACTACCAGAAATAATTTCGATTTATATTTATTGTGAGAATAAACAACAACAAGAGGAATGGATTGTAAAACAACCCTTTTTAAAAACTGGAAATAATATATTTTATGATCAAAATTTATTTTTTAAAAAACTAAAAGATTTTGCGTCTGAACAAAATAATGATGAAAATCTACCGTACAACGAAGCATTGCCAACTGTTGGTTGTTTTAATCAAAATGAAAAAAACAGCTCAATAAGAACTTTAAGTAAACAAACAGTAGAATTCATTTGGTTTCAATTAACCATTGAAATTTTATTACGTATGCCAATAACAGATGATTCAAAGGCTAGTATGATAAATGCATGTCGTGATTATCATAAGGACAACACAACTCAAAAGAAACATATTTCAGAATTTGAAGCTGCTTGTAATAAAAGTACATGGACGCCGGCTGCTGCAGTCACATGGTATACAAGCGATACATTTTGTCCTCGTTTAACAAATAAAGCTTTAGGAACGCAAGATCCTGATTATTTATTTACATTTCGTTTTATTATAACTGAAATTCATAAGGAGTTAGATGCATTACATACAATGCGCATTAGATCAAACACAACACTACCAACGGTTATCTATCGAGGAAAAGTTTTAACAATGAGTCAATTTCAAATATTAAATGACAATATCAACAAGCTAGTTTCAATGAATGGGTTTTTGTCGGCTAGTACAGATGAAAACGTTACAGATATATATAGTGATAAAGATGGTACTTCAGACCTTATAGGTTATACACGTGTTTTGTTTAAACTATTAATTAACGACGATATTCAACGAAAACCATTTGCTTCAATTAAAGACATTAGTCGTATGAAAGATGAGAAGGAAATATTATTTTCGGTTGGCACAATATGGCAGGTTAAATCTATTACAAAAGATAATAAAGTCTGGAATGTTGAATTGGAATTAAGCAACGAAGATCCAAGTATTGAAATGATTAATTATTTAAAAAAACAATTAGGTGAAATATCAACATGTCTGACGTTAGGAAACTTTTTAGCAGAACTAGAGGAATTTGAAAAAGCTAATAAATATTATCAGATGTTACTCAAAGATCTACCTGAAGATCACGAAGACAAACCAACAATCCTTAATAATCTTGCTTGTCTGGAATGCGAAAGAGGTAATCATAATGATGCTGCCGTTTATATTAATCAAGCAATCAGATACATTAATGAAAAGACTCGAAATAATTCGCACAACATTAGTGAGATGGCGTCAGAAGTGGCCAGATGTACAGAACATGTCATAGCACAGCATTGCAATCAGACTCTTTATTCTGCAACTACTGCTACCAACAGTAGTGCAGCTCCAATTGAAGATACAATTAACTTGATAACAAAAGCGTTAACTGCGAATCATTCATCAATCGGTAAAATATTCAATAATCAAGGACTTTTGTATTACAGTAGCAATGACTATAGTAATGCAATGACATATTTCAAACGAGCACTGGAAAATTTTCAAGAACAAGAAATCAAATATCCACCTGACATAGCAGCGGCTTATAATAATATTGGTGTTATT